ATGGTTCAATTATTATTTTTGCTGATTTGTCTAGGAATAGTGATTTCAACTTCAATAACGTTTCTATAGACTACAATGATAAAGCGCCAAATCTTAAATTTTTTCAATAAAATACTGTATTCGATCCATAGCAGTCTCTTTAAAATGATATTTAGAACTTAATAAAGATAAATTGTAAAAGTTAAAATAGATGCAAAACGAGAGCTAATAATTTAACTGTAAAAAATAACTATATTGGGGCTATAGGTACAGTTTTTAACCTTTTCAATGTAGAATTTTCTGATTAAAATTCTATTTACCAGAATAATGGAGGGGTTAATGGAGGTATTTACTATTGTCAAAATTGCGATCTTGCCTTTGATTAAATTTAATTTCTTAACAATTTCGGATATGCTGGTGTAATATTTAAGATAGTAGATTAAACTTCTCTAAGAATCACTAATTGTTTATTCAAAGATAATATTGCCATTTATTAAGGTACTATTATCGATATTTCTACAGCTTAATAATCGTAGGCTTCGATAAAAGATATCAGCATATAAAACTCTAGATTTATTAATAATAAAGCTGTATTTTAAGGAGGAATTATAAGTCTTAATAATTAATTCATCAGAATAAAGATTGAAGATTCAGTATTTGAAGATAATAGTGTAACCCAGGGTAATGGTGGAATTCTAATGATTACTGACGCTAAACAAGTTATTATTAAAGGAAATTCATTTATTAAATTTGGAGCACCAAAATTCGGAGCACTAATATTCGCATAGTCAGATAAAATAGACTTAATTAATATAGAAAATAATATAATATAGTGCTAACTTGAATATGACAAAAATCTTGTCAAACATTAAATAGCTGCAGAATCAAACTTTTTATCAGAAAATGTGGTCAAAGTAATTGGTGTAAAGAAGGTTTAATCTAGTAAAAATACCTTCAAAAATTGTAATATGAATGTAGATGGAGGTATTTTCAATCTATAAAATACATAATTTTCAGACTTAGGATCCAAATTCAAACAGAACAGTGCTTACTCAGGTGGAGTAATAAGTAGTAGTTATAGTTAAATCACTTTATATGAATCGGAATTCGAAGATAATGTTGCATATGAAGGAGGCGTAATTATTTTAGATTAAAATTCAAACTTGGATGCAGATTATATATCAATGAAGAGAAATTATGCTTTGGGAGAAGCAGGGTGTATTTTAGCTAGAACTGGCTCTGAATTTACAATTTAAAATTCTATTTTCAGTAATAACTAAGCTTAGTTGGGATATTCAGTGCTGTAAGCACTTGGCACCCATAATACCAATTTTTTATCATTCACTTCATGCACTTTTAAAGAAAATTAAGCACCTTATACATCATTAGGTATATAATATGGATAGATCAATTTTACTAATTGCTAATTTATCAACAATAAAGCAAATTATAAGACCAAAAATATATTTCTAGGTTTTGCAATATCAAATATCATAGGCTGCACTTTCCTCGATGAGAAGTTTGATTAAGAAGGAATAATTTCTATTTCAAATAATTTAGCAGGTGCTTTTATATAAATCATAGTTTCAGTTTAACTATCAATATAGTTTTGTACTTTTACTGGAGGACATTCATAATATGGTGGTGCACTTTATATTTCTGATGGTAACTTAGCTAATATTTACTAAATTCTAATTTTTTAGATTCTATTGTAAAAATTGAAACATCTAAGTTCATTTCAAATTAAGCAGATGATTATGGAGGAGCAATTTATGGAATTGGATTTTAATCATTGATTATTTCTAATGATTGCTAATTCATAGACAATATAGCATATTCTGAAGGAGATGATATATACGCAAGAAATAGTGATCAAATTTCAATTTCATCTACATAATTTCACAGCAAGTATGCAAAAAACTCTCTTAGCTTTTAAGAAAGTTATGTCTAACTAAATAAAATAATAATAAGAGGTAATAAATTAATAATTTCAAAATTTTTAGATAATTTCAACAATTCTTAAGAAAAATTGGCTGGAGGTGGAATAATCTGTAATGATTGTCCTTAAGTATACATAGCAAACTCAGAATTCTCAAGACTAAAAGCATAAAAAGGAGGTTGCCTATATTTTACACAGTCTGCAACTAATAATATAGAATTCAGCTATCTAATTGAAAACAGCATTTTCAATGAATGCATTTCCACTAGTGGTGATGGAGGAGCAATTTATGATGATAATATTGGTAATCTGACTATTAGAAATTCTAAGTTCTTGAATAATTTTGCATTTGAAAAGGGAGGTGCTATCTATTTTTAATGTTGAAAAATGATAGGTAGTGATGACTGTTAGTTTTATTTAGATTAAAAAATCTTGTTATAAAATAACAAAGCTAATAATTCAGGAGGTGCTATATTTTGGAAAGATATTGAACCGATTTATGATGTTAAAATGACACAATTCATCAACAATTATGCTTTGATATATGGCAATAATATAGGCTGTTTTCCTTAGAGAATAGCTAGAATTACATATTAAGAATACAACAATATAATTAACTATTAAAACGGAGAAAAAAGATTATTGGATAAAACTAGACATCTTTATGATAATAACTTATAAAATGAAACACAATTTAAAATGAGTAGTGTTAGAAGTGGATAGTAATTAGAAAATATGTATTTAGCATTGGTTGATAAATATGGATAAGTTGTATAAATAGACAGCCAAAGTAAATTATCGATAAGAATTGACTTATCATATATTGAGAACAATACAGCAGCTCAAAATTTTCCTCCATCAATTCAAGGAAGCTCATATTTTATCGCTATCAACGGAACATTCGAAATATCAAATGTTTTTTTTGTGGCGACCCCAGGCTAAAGTTACTGAGTACTGTTTTAATCTGATGGAATCGATATAAGCAAACCTTCAAACAAAGAATATTTAGAGAAAACTTAGTTGTAGGGCTTAACTGATATCACCTTTGATCTTAAGATAGAACTTAGAGAATGCTAAATTGGAGAATCATTTACAGACTCAGGATAGTAAATTTTTATTTAATGACTAAATTAGGTGTAACATATGCAGTGAAAAGACATAATATCTCTTAATATAATAAAATTCCCCTGGCTAATGTTAGGAATGTCCTTAAGAAAAAGCAATCTGCTTAGGAGGCTCAAAAATTGGTCCTAAACCCAATTATTGGAGAAAGAGCAATTCCACAGATGTATTTATAAAGTGTCTCAGGCCTTTATCATGCGAGTAATATTTATTTATTTATTTTATCTAGAGGAATGATTAAACCATAAAACAATCCTTAAGGTGAGTGTATTTAGGGATATAGAGGAATACTTTGTGCAGATTGTGAAAAAAATTATAGTAGGGTTGGTGAATATGAATGCTCATTATGTCCAGATAAAGCTTAAAATATAATAAGATTAATTGCAATTTCTGCTGCATTTACGTTACTTCTAGTTCTATTGATAAGATCAACTTTAAAAGGAGCTGTTGCAAAACGAAATATCATATCAATATATTCAAAGATTTTAATGAACCATTTGCAATTGATTATGCTCTCAGCCTAATTTAACTTCTAATGGCCAAAGGAAGTTGCAGACTTTTATTCATTTGCATCTCCCGTTTCACAAGTTTCTTAGCAGATAATTTCAATAGATTGCTTTGTTTAAAATCAAGTGTATGATGAAAATTAAAAGGTCAAGTTTATGGGATTTAAAAGAGTCTATTTTATAAAAGTAGCTTTAATGAGTTCAGCACCCATAATATTACTTATTATATGTTATGCAGTTTGGTATGTGATTTCTTTGGCTCAAAGACAAATGGCATTATTAAGAACTAAAGCAATATCTAGTTTGGTGATTCTATTATTTTTTGTGCATCCAAATATAGTGTAATAGATGTTTGATGTGTTTAATTGTATTGATATTGATGGGGAGACTAGATTAAAAAATGATCTTGAAATTATATGCTATTAAGATACTCATAGAATTTGGTCAATGATGGTCTCTCTCACAAGTATAATAGTCTGGGGTCTGGGAATTCCAATATTTGCGATGCTTTTGCTCTTTATTGAAAGAAAAAATTTATAAAAATTAGATACAAAGCAGAAATATGGTTTTTTGTTTAATGGCTATCGAAAAGAATTCTATTATTGGGAAGGTGTCATTATGTATCGAAAGATAGCCTTGATTTTTATCTAAGTATTTATTGGTTCTTTTGGGCTATTAGTTTAGGTAATACATCTCTAATTAACCTTTTTAATAGGCATTATCAGTTTTGTTATTCTTGATTTTAGGAATTGTTATAAATTTGAAACTTAAACCACTTTCAACTGTTGCTTTAAATAACATAGAATTAATCTCACTTTTAGCATCAAATATTACAATTTATATCGGTATTTTCTATATAATGAACTCACAGATATAAACCAACTCTTAAACCTAGTCCAAAGACTGTAATTTTTATTCTGTTAAATCAAATATTTCTAGTTTCTGGTCTATCAGAAGTATCGAAGATGTTTTTCTTTATTATTATTGTATTTTCCAATATATCTTTCCTATTATATTGGGCATATAATTTTTTGATTGAGATCAAGAAAGTTTTTATCAAATCATATGGAACACTCTATTTAAATTTTTGCTTATGTGGAAATAAAGTAAAATTTGATTATGATAGATTAGAAGCTTTAATAAATGAAGAAAATGAATATCTGAGAGATTCATTTATAGACTGTAAAAATATTATATTTATTATTCTTATTTTTTAGAGTTAAAATCTCTCAAAAAGGCTTACTAGAGAGGAGAAATAATGCTTAATTAATAAATTCTTGAAAGAATTAAAGTTTATCTGGACTTAAATAATTTCAAATTAGGCATAGGCATGAAAAAATCTGAAGAATATTCTGAAACAGAAAAAATTAGGTTAGAACGAATTGAAAAAGATTAGCAAAAGTAAATAGCATTGGGTAAAACAAAGACCTTTGTTGATAAAATCTAAATTTAAAATCTTAAGAATAAAGAAGATTTTCTAATAAAGAACATTAGTATGGATTTTGATCCAAATGAAACTAATGCCTTCACAAATAGAAATTAAAATAGCCTGGATAGTTCAAAAAGATTTTTACTCTCTAGTACAAGAGAGAAAAAATAATATAATCAAGAAGATGCAGAAAATTTTGAAAATAAAGATTATCAAACTTTAAATTCAACAATAGAGAGAGCAAATTCCTCTGGTCAAGAAGAAATTACTCTAGATAATGGAGATAAAATAGTTTAACTTGAGTCTTATAGATTTAGGACTCAGAGAAAAATAAGCTAAATTTCAGGAAAACGATTAATTGAGGAAAAATTAATATAATCGTAAACAAAATATGCATAAATTAAAAGATCTACAAAAAAATCAAAGGCATAGTTAAAAAGGGACATTGATAAGATTTAAGTATTTGAAAAGGAAAATATAAGCAAAGTCATTTAGCAACTTCAGGCTATTTAAAAAATATAAGACAGAGATAGGTTACATGTGAAAAGAGCGAAGAAAGCAAAAGTTAAGCTTAGTAGTTATATTAGGAAAAAACGATTACTTCAATCTTTGAAAAGAAGCTTAGACGAAAAGATAATGAATCATTAGGAGGATTTAGAAAATGAATAAATTATTGAGAACAAGAATGAACTTAAACTAAGAGACAATAATAACAGAGTGAAAATTATGAGGGAGATGAGCAAAATTACAAATTTCGAGTTAGATCTGAGTTTAATGAACTAATCTAATGATAATGTAGATTATGAGGATATTGATCGAATGGATTCAAAAATATTCAAGATAAGAAAAAGTAGTTTAGTAAAGTAAAATACAATAGATAATATTGAGAGCTTTCTTGAAAATAAAGATGGATCAATTGGTAATTATATTTCTAAGCATGAGGAATATAAAACTGAGAATCATTAAACTTCTTGCTTGGATTAATCCTTGATTGATTCTAGTGTAAGAGAGCAATAAGAAATGGAGTTTATAACAATTGATAATGAGGATTCAGATTAATTAAATAGGATCAAGAGTTTATTTTAAAAACAGCCTACTATTATAAAGAAAAAATATTAGATTTGATTTAAATCTTACTGAAATATTTGATTACTATCTTGCCTCCTGGGGTTTTGGGGTTTTGGGGTTTTGGGG